TTTTCATAGAATTTTTATTTATTATTACTTTTGTCAGATTCATTTATTTCTATGGCCATTGTGGGTTTTTCTTTCATTAACCGAGGGGTACCAACAATTTTGTCCACGTGTATATATGAAGAATGAGTTTCTTGCTGGTCTATGTGGTGGCACGATCCAGTGGGAAAAGGTTTTTGGGATCCACACAGCTTCTGCGGATCTGCATCTGCCGGGTAAAGGGATGCTCTGCTTTGGTCGGGGACAGCAAGTGTTGTGGCAAAAAGTGATCATCTGTCAAAACTGATTGTTGTGCTGTGAATAAATTATCCTCACATATCTTAACTTATCTGGTCTATATGCCAGAATATAACCAGTTATATAACCTAGTTGTTTTTACTTGTTGAAATAGCTTTAAAGGACCAATTTTGCTGATATAGTGCAGTTTTCCATCTGCCGAGACATGAATGCAGCCCCCACATTATGACTGAAATGGCAATAATGTATCAGAATGATGTGAATTGATTTGGGAAGGTCATATCACAGTCTAAATAAGAATATTAGACACATCAAAAACATACAGCCTAAACACTGGAAACACTACTACAGTATTGCCAAAAATCATCCTAAATGTGATGCCTCATTACGCTCCAAACCGCAAACATTGTCTGGTCACAATTATTTGGCTATAAGAAACATTATAGTTTCACAAACACAAACCTTGGCTGTTATTACTGATCCAGAGGGAAAGCAGCTGTAGGTCATATACGCTGGCCAATATGGCTATAACAAGAAGTGCACAATCTTACTCTTAAAAATATGATCCCCACTGTTTTCATTTAAAATATGACCCTCATGAATGAATTAATCTAATTTCAGTCATAATGAAGGGGCTGCAATCACTTTTTGACAGGTGGAAAACTAAAATTCTTCCTCTAAAGATCTTTTCACTGGGGAAAAAAAAGAACTGTATTGGTTATAATCCAACCCACAGATCAGGTAAAGCAATGTAGAGATAAAAGGAGTGCTTCCATCCTTCATCTTTGACAAATGATCATCCTTTGGCCTGACACCAGCACAACAGGTCAGATCTATCAAGATCGGAATTCCAACTCCAGTGAACACCGGGCACCAGGAAAAAAGGTAGTTGTGCTGGAGGACAGGTAGGCCCTAATTCTCACAACCACTCCTCCCCATCTTCTGTGACATCTTTTACAGGCAATGGCAAACAACTGACAATGCAGGTATGCATCTGGTTTTTCAAACTGATGCTAAAAGTATATACAAGTATACACAATTATAAACAAGCAGAGCAGCAACATCCTGACAAAATATGGAAAACTAAAAAACCAGCAACAAACAGTATTCTGAGCTGATGTGACAAACAATTCCCAATCATATCATTAGCCAAAATGAATAAATCAACTATAAGTTCCACAGTGTACTGACTAAATCGACCTGCAGTCTTAGAAGCCTAAGTGAATTAAAAATTAACATGAAAAGCTAGTATTTGCAGTATATGAAATCATCTGAGACTACTTATTTTGTGCTGAAATGATAACAACACACTCAGAGCAAACCAACCGGCCTCCGCATTTGTATGATTTCTGAAAATAGAATTCTGTTAATTGGTGATCCCAGCACAGAAACCACTGAGAAATTACAAGTTTGCCTACGGTTTTTACGTTATCTGCCATGTTAGTTTTTGAGCTGTGATACGCAAACTGCTGTTTGCAAAGTTTACACTCTACCTTTTGTCCATTCGTTTGAACAAAAGGCAGCTTTGACATGGCGTCAGTTAGTTTTGAGTTAAGTGAATGTTGAATAAGTTAGAGTAAACAAACATGGTAAATGGTCTGCACTTATGTAGCGCTTTTTTCTACCTTAGTGGTACCGAAAGCGCTTTACAATGTGTTTCTCATTCACCCATTCACACACCAATGGTGACAGAGCTGCCATGCAAGGTGCTGCCTGCCATTGGGAGCAACTTCGGGTTCAGTGTCTTGCCCAAGGACACTTCGACTGTGGAGGGGCGGGGGATTGCAGGACAACCCGCTCTACCACCTGAGACACAACCGCCCTGGGGATGATCACAGGGGATGATCACAGGTATTCTGTTTCACCCACTGCCAAAAATAATGGATTAATCCTAGAATGTGCATTTACCTTTAAGAAAGTAACAACGGCAATGGTCCAACCAATGAGAATTCGGTTGAATGAGACTGCAGACCACAGCCCGAGTACTGACAGGATTAAGTGATCGATGAACCACCAAAGGACACTCCCCCGCTTCTCACCTTTCTCTGCCTTCCTGGTCTTCTCCTCAAACTGGAAAAGCCTCATTCTCAGATCCTCCTTCTCTCGCTCCATCTGCTCCTTCTCTCTCTCAATGGCCTCTCTCTTCTTCTTCTCATTTTCCAGCTGGGCCCTGCAGAGAAGATCGGGCTACCATGAGTCAACAAAAAGAGCTGTCATAGTTGATATATAGTTATGGTTGCAAACATGAACACATACATTTGTACACACACAAACACGGTTTACCACATGTTTGCACAACCTGCTTCATTACATCTGATCGAAACAATGAGCGCCTGTAATGGTCACACGCTGCATAATATAACTTGCATGTAAATATAGTTTATTTCACATAGTGACCACTGGCAAGGGTGGTCTTGGGATTTGAACTTGCACCACACATACAAGGATTTGGCAACAGAATTATCCTGAAGTACTTCAAAGTTTATCCACACAACACAGCATAAAAATGGCCACAGTCAAAAAGCTGCAAGATGAAAATAGAGTCGTCAGCAACAAGGATTCTTTAAATTCATTAATATTGACTCCACCAGTCAGTTGCTCAATTTATTGACTAATCGTTTGGCATATAAAAAGGCAAAAATATAGATAGCATTTTCAGGCCAAGTTTCTTGACCCAAATTGCTTTTTTTTGATAAAATACTAAAGGCTGTCTAATTTACATTAATAGACTTCCATGCAAAACTGTAAAAATGTATATTTGTGAAATCCCAAGTGATAGTTTTGCATTTTAGAAAAAAAAACAAAAACAAAAACAAACAAAAAAAAACATAAAAGCAACAGATTTAGAAACGAGTCAATCAACTAATTGGCATATTTAATCATTTTAGCCCTAACATCAGAATAAAGCCTGTTGTTGTAAACATAACATTTTCAACTAGAAAAGCCCTTGGAGAGTGCAGACCTCCGCCAGCAGGTCATTTCCAACCATACTGTGATTTCCGGCCAATGTTAAAGTCCTGCACTCATTTTATCTACACTATTAGATTTATGGATAATCAAAACATACCTTTAGCATTTGAATTAACATTGGTATCATTAATAACAAACTGATGTAGTGATGAACGGCTGTTCTGTACTCTCAAATATTTTGTACACTTACATTATTTCTGCAGTTACTTCCTGGCTTATAAGCTGTTAGCTAACACTATGCTCGGTTGGCATAACTACAGCGATGCTATTGCTAACATAAAAAGACAGGGAGTAACTTTAGCTAGGTTAGAACAACTTCATGCAATGCAACGTAAATAAAAAGCATGACCGACGCAACGAAGCACGCGCCACTTGTCATGACTCATGGCAAAGAGAGTTAAAGTGAAACAGGAGACAGGTTGAGTCATTGTCAATGTGACAATGTTGTTATGAACTTATCTGTCAGTAGCTCCGCTCAGCCCACTCCTGTAATGTAGCCTGGCTGTAGCTTACTCCTGCACTACTGAGAAGACAGTGGTGAGGACTGAAGGATTGAATGGAGTCACAGCTCCATCTAGTGGACAAACGGCGCAATGACAGCATTCTGCACGACTGTGACACTTAACAGCATTTACCGTTTTATGAGAAAAAAACCAGACAGTAAGCCAGAACATCACCAAAATTTAATCAGCTGTTCATTGTGCCATTAACAACATTTCCTGAAAATTGCATGAAAATCTGTTCATAACTTTCCCAGTTATGCTGCTAACAAACAAACAAACCAGCAAACAGATAAACGCCGGCTAAAACATAACCTCCTTGGTGGAGATAATGATATACAACATAATAAACCAGAATATTATTATTATATTTTAAAAGCTTGGACCAAAAATATTGGTGCTTCTGCCTGATAAATGATTGTATATCAAAACTATTACTGATGAAGTTTCGGCAAGTAATTTATTATTTAAATGACTAGTCTTTTTAGCATCAGTTTGACCTCTGTCAAGAACCCAAGCTTGAAAACATACACAGCCAGTCAGTCAGTCAGCTTTATCTCTTATTTCCTACACATCATTTTGCAGTCAGTTTGTTTATTGTGTACCGAGTTCACTTTGGTTTTGTTAAATAATATATTTCAAAATACTACAAAGTAGGGCTCAGCTTTTCTCTCAGAATACTTATGCTCTGCTCTAAATCTGTCTTTAAAAAAAAAAAAATCATGGAAAAAGATTTCTTTGTTTCTGGCTTTTATTAAAAATTGAAAAAAAAGAAAAGAAAAGAAAAAAATGGAATGATTTATGAATTTCTAATGGTTGTTCGACTGGTATTTAGTGTGTTGTCTGCTTGGTGTTACATCACTATGTTTGAGCAGCTGTGCAGGACAGACAGTGGGCAGAAAGCTGTTTCTGAGACCACAGCATTCATTCAATTTCAGTTCAGCTGATGCAGAAGGTGGATTTTCTATACTTGAAAGGGAATGCTATATCATCACCCGATAAATACATCAATTTACATGCACTGAACTATGTCTAAGCTTAGTTAAGAAAAGTATCTTCCACTGATGAAGCTGTTCCAACCAAACAAGGTCAGACTATTCAAAAGTGCTCTGAAGGGCTTACTCCACTCAGAGAGACATCTTGCAGTGTGGATACTGTCCTAAAGCTGCACTAATATTTTCAAACAAATAGTCCTTCTTACTTTTAAAACAGGGGATTTTTGACTTGAATGAGGGTATGAGGTACTCTACACTTTTACACAGTTTATTGTGTATATTTTGTTCAGAACAAAAGTTAAAAATTTGCTGCTTTTAACAATAACTGTATTTTCAGCAGGATATCTTGACTGTTGGTCAGACAAAAGCAGACATCTGAAGAGGTCATTTTGGACTCATTTTGGCATTTGATTGAGACTAATCAAAAATAGAAATAATGATGTGGTGCAGCACAAAATTCTTTTTCAAATATGTTAATTTGGTATTCAAATATCAGATGTGTTCAGATATACAATATTGAATAAAAGGCCTGCATACTACCACTA